ATATTCTTTTATATATTCCAATGAGGGTCAAGGTAAAGCACCTTAAACCCGAACTTGACATGATCCAAATTCTTCAAAAAGGTAAAACTTAATCTAACCTTTTTTTTAAAAAAAAAAAAATCGATTGAATTGTGGTAAATTAAAGTCCATTGGATATAAGTTGTTTTATTAACTCTACATCTATTGATTTTTTCTTACAAAATTTACCTAATAAGTAAAATTTTTAAAAACAACGAAAATGATAAAAAAAAAAAAGTGAAATGGAACGATGCATTAATTTATTAAATTAAAATATTAAATAATATTTTTTAATAATATAAAAATATAAAATTGAATAAATAATAAAACTTATTTTTTTATATATATCAAAATCAATTCATAACACCCAAAACTTACTCTATTCCAAGCTCGACTTAAAAAAAAAAAAAACTTAACCAAATTATTTCGAATTAAAAAAATATATATTAATGTTGTTGGAGTGAATCAACAGTTATTGAATACAGATTATTTTATCGTTTTTATCTCTATTAATTTTTTATTACAAAATTTATCTAATGAAAAAATAAAAAGTACAAAAGTAAATATATTTTCTTATCGTGTCTTACATGGAATGAAAATGCAACTATAAATCAATTACTTGATCATCGATCAAAATATAACTTGATAAACAGTAACTTTAGTCAACTTTGAGAAGAAAACTTCAACGTCTCATCGACGGTACTAAAACCCTTTATTAACGTCATCACCTTAATTTCTCTTTTCCAACCTAAAACCCTTCATTTTTTATTCATGGTTAATTATTACAAAAAGGAATTTCTACAATTATTTTCTCAAACACATAAAATTACACATACGATGTAATGACCCTATATAATTAGGTAAAATAATGTTTGGTCCGACAAGTAATATCACCTTACACACATTATGTACCAGCAAAAAATACATAATTAACCCAAAATAACTTGAAATTAGTGAAATGGATCAGTATTAGTTGGCATCGAAATTAGTATGAAAAATTTAGCTAAAATAATAAAAAATATGAATTTTCTTATTTTATTTAGATAAATCTTTACATTTTTATCTCACCCAAAAAAACCCTTTAGCCTTCATTTTTTTACCTAAATAACTTCTTAAACTTTAATTATATCCAAATAAGTCATTAACTTTTAGTTTATATCTAAATAAACTCTTAAAATAAATAAATCTTTTGTTTGAAATAAGAATTTATTTGGATACAAATAAAAAACTAAAAATTTATTTGTGACCAATAAAAGTATAAAATTTATTTAAGTAAAATGATAAAATTTAAAGAGTCTTTTAATATTTTAGCAAAAATTTCATTTAATGTACAGAAAGGTTAACAGCAAACTAAGACAACATTCTTTAATTCTTTTTAGGAATACAACACACTTGATGATTCTAATTAGAACCATCTAACTTCTTAATTCCTTCCAACAAATTATTTTTTATATTTTATTTTCTTGCAAAAAAAAACTATATCTCATCATGAACTTTTACACTGTCCCACCAAAAAATTAATACAAAAAACTCAACAAAAAAATTAAAAAGGTAATAAAGCGATTAAGAATTCATGATCAAGAACATTCCAATAATTACTTGTTTGGATTTTGATATGTATTTAGAGGTTTTTGCGAGATATTTTGTACGCTTTTGAATCATATTTGAAGAAATTTTTATATTTATTATTAAATACTCCCTCTGTCTCATTTTGTATGTCTTTTATTAATTTTTTTTATCAAACGAATTCAACTTTAACTATTATTTTTGAAAATATTTTATTAAATTAAAAATTTTTATAAATATGTTTTGTAAATTTTGAAACTCAACCTTTACAAATCTTATTTTTAAAAATTTTTTATTTTAGGATTTTAATAAAAATGATGGTCAAAGTTATATTAATTTGATCAAAAAAATCAATAGAGGACGTATAAAGTGGAACGGAATATATTAAAATAAAAATTTTTTAAAAATTAATAACACCCAAATAATTTTAAAAAATAATAATAAAAGAAACACCGCTCATGCAAATGAAATTAAAGTGGGTTGTTAAAAAATTTGGCAAGGGCGCTTTGCCATAAAATATAACAATCATTAACTGTTTTGGTCAAAAGCGTGTAAAAGTTAAATGAATAAAGTGTAATTGAAGTTAATTTTGGTGGGGGCATATGGTTGACGAAGACAATCTCAAGTCCAAGTTTTTGTTTTTTTTTTTGCCGGGTTTCCCTTATTACTTTTTTGCTGTGCAAAATGTGAACAAGACAGCATGGTTGGCGCTTTCTTCTTTAACGACGTTGCCATTTTGCATTTTCCTTTTCTTTATTTGTAGGAAATTTCTAAGATGTCTAATCTTTATCGTGTCTTACATGAAATGGAAAAGTAGTTATAAATCAATCATATGATCATCAATTAACGTGTAATTATACTTAATAAAAAACCTTTAATGAACTTGAAAAAAAATTTTCAACATTTCGTGCACGATAAAATTTTTTATAAATATAGTTTTCATTTTTCTCTCTTCGTACCTAAAATTCATTTATTCATTTATGTTGTTGTAATATCAATTTTTAAGATTTTCGTGAGAAGATCCTTTAAAACTTACCAAAATAATTTACTAGCTCTTGCTGGAGAAACAACAAAGAAATTATTTTTTTGTTCTCATGATTATTACAAGAAGGAAATTCTAAAATTATTTTCTCAAACACGTAAAATTATACATCCGTGTAATGCACCTATTGTACTACTGCAGTTAAAGAAATATATATATATATATATAAGAAAAAGGACTTTATTAAAAAGTTTTATAAGTATAGGGGCTATTTAATAAAAAGAGGATACATAAAGATTATTAGGCAAATAATGCACTTTGTTTTGAAATAATAAGAGCTCTGTCATAAAATAAGGGCCAAACGCCCGGGCGGGGGGGTGGGGGGGTGGGGAGAGCTTACTCATTTCTCATGTGTTGGGTTGGAGAATTGGAAAATCATTGTCGGAATTCAAAAACCAAAGATTAGAGATGGTTCATTCTCTTTTAAGGCAAGTAAAAGCCCTTTATTTATTTATAAGAATGTTTGTTAGATCGTTGAAATTAGGGTTAAACTTTATGAGAAAGAAATCTGAAATTTACTACATGAAATCTTTTATAGTTTTTCATGTTCAGGTTGGGTAATTCAATCAAACCTTGTTTGATTCATCTAATTAAAATTAAGAAAGATTATTAATGTGGAATCAAGGGTGGTAAGATGAAATTCGAATTTGTAAGAATTAAAGGGGAAAATCTGTTTTTGTAAGAACATGGGTATGCATACCATCTAACAATAGCAACAGTAATGAGTTATGAAAATTTTTTCAATTAATTTACAAAAATTATAAGTTGATCGATATGTGATTGAAACTATTATTGACTCTAGTTTTTAACTCACTAAACAAAATTAAAATCTGAGTTTTTAAATGGAGATAATGTATTTTTTTTATTAGAGAGATAATGCATTTTAGTGGACATTGTTCAGGTTATTTGTCATAAAAATACAGTGACAATGTAATTTTTTAACTTTACAAATAAAATTAAAAAGCTGCCAAATGTGTCAATTTCCTTTTTAAATTATTTTTTATTATACTCTAAGAGAGTGTTGCTAAGGTATAATCAAACTAAAAACCATATTGATATATATATATATATATATTCAATAAGTATATCACATTGTTTGACAACAATTTAAAAATCTTATGTATCAATAACCTTAAATCATCTTAAATCTTAAAAATTATTAAATTAGATTACTATCTTAAAAAGTAATTTGATTTTCAACTTAAAAGATGAGAAAATTTTATCACCGTAGAAAAATAATTTATAATATTATTTATAATTAATTTATCTTGACAAAAAATGTAGTTAACATTGTCCAAATAAGCTGGTTAGTAAAAGTTTTCAATAAATATTAAATCTTTTACTTTTTATAATTTTTTCATAAAATAACATCTAGCTATTTTATAAATTATTGTTTCAATAAATATTAAATTTTTTACTTTTTTTTGCATAGTTATTTTGGATATTTTGTATTTTATCAAACATAGTAATTTAAAATCACTAATGATTTATAATATTGCATTAAACATAATAATCTGAAATCATTTGTAATCAAATTACTTTGATGATCTTATTATAATGATAATTAAATCATCATAATGATTTTGAAAATTATACAAATACTATTTAAAGAGTAGACATTGTCCTATTAATTCTAACTATATAATTTAACATTTTATTATAATTCGACGTGATAATTTTTCAAGTTGAAAGTTGTGGCTATGTATTTTCCTTTAAACCCTATCTTTAAGGAGAACAATTCTAATGAGCCTATACTGCCTTTACTTTTTTTTTCTTCTTCTTCTAAATTCATTCTTTCAATACGCTTTGTTTTTCCCGTGTGTTTTTTGGAATCTATACATGATCAACAAGAATTTCATATTTTCTTATTTTAAAAAAGAATCTCATATTTTCTAGTACTTAAATTTCTATAGACAGTCATACATGTTAGGGTGGGTGAATCAATATTTTGTCATTTTTTTATTGAATTTCTGTTTTCATTGTATTAAAGGAAAAAAAAATATAAATTGTTTTACAAGATTAAAAAATTCAGTGTTTATGCCAACGAAGAAAAAAAAAATCTCACCTCCACACTAAGCATTAGGAAATTTAAAGATGTTTAAATGACTTTGAAAGATTTATAGTTGACTTGAAATGATATAAATATAGGCCTCCATTAATCCACTTTCATATAGTATAGCACATTTTCAAATTCATTTCCCTAAACCTCTGCCTCCTTTCATCGCTTGTTTCTTAGTTTCTAGACATGGAAAGTTTGTCTGGTTGCATCATATCCTTAATCTCCTCTTAGTACTGTTCTTACTTTCGGGAGTCGATTGTTCTCTAAGTTTGTCTTCCTCTTCTCTTAATTATTCAACTCCTTTATGTCTACCAGAAGACAGCTCTGCCTTGCTCCAATTCAAGAACACCATTTCCATTGATGATTCTGGCACTCGTTTCTGTTCTTACCCTTTCGCTTCTTATTCAAAAACAAACTCCTGGAATGAAAGCACAAACTGCTGCTCATGGGATGGAGTCACTTGCGACAAGGACTGGTCATGTCACCGGCCTCAACCTTAGTTGCTCTTTTCTTGTTGGCTCTTTTTCTGAAAACAGCAGTCTTTTCCGTCTTCAAGGACTCAAACGACTCAACCTTGCTTACAACACAAATTCAATGGTTCTATCCCTTCTGGGTTTAGTCAGTTAGTAAGTTTGACACATCTTAATCTTTCTGGTTGTTCCTTCTCTGGCTTAGTTCCATCTGATATTTCTCTGTTGTCAAAACTGATTTCACTTGATCTTTCTGAGAATTCTTATTGGGAATTGGAATTTGACAGCCGCAGTTTTGACAAGCTTATGCATAACTTGTCTGATTTAGAAAATCTTTTCCTTGGCATCGTAAACATGTCTGATGTTTTGCCTTCCTCCTTGATAAACTTGACTTCATCTCTGAAGCGTTTGGGTCTAGGTGAAAGTGAATTGCAGGGGGAATTCCCTACTGAAATTTTTAACCTTCCGTACCTTGAGTATCTTGATCTAAGCAGCAACTATTTTTTGACAGGTTATCTCCCTAGATCAAATTGGAGTAGTCCCCTTAGGTTCTTGGACCTTTCGAGTAGTGGTTTTAAAGGGTCAATTCCTTCGGCCCTAGGTAACCTCACAAAAATCACATTTCTAAGTTTAAGCCACTTCGAAGGAGAACTTCCAAATGTCTTTGGAAACCTTAATAAACTAACTACTCTGGATTTTGATTACTGTAATTTCAGCGGTCAACTTCCCCCAACGTTGTTCAATCTCACACAACTTACTCATTTAGATTTATCATTCAATAGTCTTGAGGGCCCCCTCCCAACTCAAATAAGCGGGCTTCAGAATTTGTATGAATTTCGCTTGACTGATAACTTATTGAGTGGAGCAATTCCATCTTGGCTTTTTACTCTGCCATCTTTAGAATATTTAGACCTCGGGAGTAACAGTCTCACTGGTCCAATCAATCAGATTCAAAAGCCTAATTCAGTTCAGCAAGTGTTTTTGGCCAATAATGACATACATGGTGAAATACCAAGTTCTTTCTTTGATCTTGCAAATCTTGCCCAACTTGATCTTTCATCAAACAACTTGACTGGCGTAATCAAGTCAGCTATGCTTTCAAAGCTTGGGAATCTTGAAAAACTCGATCTTTCATCAAATAATTTTTGTGGCGTCATCAAGTTAGATTTGCTTTCAAAGCTCAAGAATCTTACAACACTTGATCTTTCAAATAACAGGCTGCTATCTTTGAGTAGCAGCATTGGTGTTAACTATTCTTTTCAAGAGCTCCAGACTTTTTCATTCTCTTCTTGCAATGTAAGGCAGTTCCCAAATTTCTTAAGAACAGCAAAGCAATTGAGAGTTCTTGATCTTTCTTTTAACAAAATTCATGGCTCAATTTCCAAATGGGAATCAGAAGGGTGGGAAGAATTGTCCAGTTTAAACCTTTCTTACAACTCACTGATTAGTTTAGAGCAATTTCCAGGGAAGAATCTTGAAATCCTTGATCTTCGTTCCAACAAACTCCGAGGTCATCTTCCAGATCCACCATCTTCATTGCGAGAATGCCTCATGTCCAAAAATCAATTGACAGGAAAAATCCCTCCTTCGATTTGTAATATGACTTCACTTGAGATTCTTGATTTGTCTACAAATAACTTGAGTGGAATTATCCCAGCGTGCCTTGGAAATTTGAGATTTTCTATCTCAACCATAAACCTACAGAAGAACAACTTTCATGGGAAAATCCCCGATTGCTTTGTTTGGGGTACTCGTTTGACAAATCTTGCCCTTAATGACAACCAATTGGAAGGGTTATTGCCACGATCCTTGATTAATTGTACTAGTTTGAGATTTTTAAATTTGGCAAATAACAAGTTAAAGGATACCTTTCCCCATTGGTTGGATAATCTTCCGAATCTTCATTTTCTTATCCTCCGATCTAATAGACTTCATGGTCCCTTCAACATTTCCAAAGTTCCATCTTCCTTTTCATCATTGCAAATAATTGACCTCTCTCAAAATGAGTTCGGTGGCCCCTTGCCAACAAAATTCTTCCAAAGTTTGGAAGCTATGAAAGATGAATCGGAAGCTATGACTGGTGTATTGACTCGAGCCATCGGTTGTAAAAATATATTTGTCAGGTCATGTAGCGAAGCGACGAGTTATGGGAATCATGGACCGGAGATTACTACGATTGCTAATTTTGTGAAAGTAACAATGAAAAGGTTGGAGATAGAGCTACAGCTGGAGAAAACATTACCCGGTTTCACACTCATAGATTTTTCAAACAATCGATTTTCTGGACGAATCCCTGATGCACTTGGCGAACTTCATGCTCTTCTAGTTCTCAATCTCTCGCACAACAACCTAAATGGTTCCATCCCTTCGTCATTTCGAAGTATGGCAGCAATTGAATCATTAGATCTCTCGTGGAACAAGCTTAGTGGCAGGATTCCTTCCCAATTGACGAATCTGACATTTCTGGAAGTGTTAAATCTGTCACAAAATAATCTAATCGGGCCTATCCCTCATGGGAAACAATTTGATACTTTCGACAATGATTCCTATAGCGGCAACTTGGCATTGTGTGGTCTCCCACTGTCAAAGAAATGTGGCAACGGTGACGGACCAAAACCACCTACACCAGTGTTTGTGGAAGATGAAGGCTCTGCAATACCCTTTATTTGGGAACTTGCAATGATGGGCTATGGATGTGGATTGGTGTTGGGATTGAGCATGGGATACATTGTTTTCACAACTGGAAGACCATGGTGGTTTGTTAGAACGATTGAGAGAGATTGGCAGAAGTATGTTACGAGGTGGATTCGCAGGAATGGAGGAAGAAGAAACTAACACTGCATCCAAAATACTGAAGTGAGTTTTAACTATTTTGCAAAGTAGAATTTTATTAGACTCTCATTGCTTTCGTAATCTACAGTTAATCTTTCCTCTTTCTTTTTTTCATATTTGTCACAGTGGCAATCGAACTGAATTCGAGGAAGATATGCACCCTGCTTCACTAGGACCTGGCTGGAAAGTGCATGTTTTCTATCATCTATGTTAATTTTCTCTGTGGCAATGGTTCAAATAATTGAGTTGTTCACTGAAAATCTGAATGGTTGAGCAACTGGGGTACTGTGATTCAGGGTCTTCTTACTTTTCTTGTTTAGCTCTGTTCATATGGGTGTCTTCATAATTTCTAAATTTGTATCTGTTGTGTTTTTTGGTGGCATTATGTTCTGCTTTGTTTTAATGTTTTTCCATGAGATGTTAATGAGTTGTCCCACCGATTATTGTTCTTTCTTTTGAAAAATCTTCCGCTTTGGGTATTACCTCCGCTTACGGAACTCCAATCGATTAATTATTTATGTTGCTTAATGTCATTATTAGATTATTGAAGGTTAATTTCTTTTGGCCTGGTTGGTTAATCACTGGTTGCATGGGTTTTTTTTTATCTACAACTATCGGAATTTGAAATTTACTCTCTGAAATTAAAAGTCCAATACCTTATCAACATACCAATATTACTGTTGGTCAATGGCCTCTGGTTGCATGGTTCATAACGTATATTTTTGCAATATATCTAAAAATTGTGCTTTCCAATTATGTTGAGTTTTATTGAACCCATATTATTTTTTATGATACTAAAACCCTCTTCTTGTTGTTGTCTAATGAGGTCGATCAAGTGTTTCAGATTTAGTAACAAAATTTATTAAGGATTAAGTTTGACCAAGTACTAAAGAACGATTAATTTAGTAAATGAATAGAGACTTGGATTGAATTTTGCAAGAAGTTGTTCAAAGAATTACTTTGAAGCATATTGTGGATGTAATTGATCTTGAAGTAAAGCCAATGATCAAAGATCAAGAGAAATAACCTTTGAAGATTATTTAAAACAAGTAGAATTGAATTAGAGAAGCATTCATCACCTAGAAGGAAAAGAAGCAAGAAAGGGCTAAGGAAAAGAAAGGCTGAGAAGGCATCCGACTATCCTAAAATGAGGTTCCGACAGTCGAAGAAAAATTTTATTAAAGAAGCTAAAAATGTTTAAGGCATTCGATTGCTCGTATATAGCATTCCACTTCTAAGCCATTTTCTGAAACAAAAGCTTATCAAAGAACAGAGTTGCCTACAACCTGCATTCAGTAGTCGACTGTCTGAGTTATTTTCTATTCCACAAGCTTATCATGACTAAGCCAACTGACTATCCGAGTTTGCCATCCGACTACCCAATGCCTATACTCGAGAAAATCATACTCCCAACGGCTTTATTTTCATTTTTGGCAAGAGATCTTCCATTTGCAATGCCCAAATCAAATCAACCACGGTTAAAAAGTCTCCTACACCTATAAATCCATCCTAGGAAGAAAGCTAAAAAACAACAAGGAATTGAGCTTGTGGACGCCTATTTTATCCAAAAATAATAACAATAATAATAAGTAAAAAAAAAAATTGGTTTCAACTCTAGCTGTTGAAATCAAGCTGCCATAGTGGTTTTTTTTTCTCCCATGACACTGTCTAACTTGGCAGCGTGAAATCCAAAAACCAAATGTTACCAGACAAGTCTCCAAAATTTTCCACAGAAGGATTCTAGGAGATTTGGGATTTGAATCCCAGAAGCTTTATAAATAGAGGTAATTTTTGCAAAAAAAAAAAAATGGGAACAAAAAAAAGGGGGAAAGAGAACATTGCCAAAAAAATATAAAGCAATTTTTTGGGTTTAAGGGGTCATAACTATATATAAAAAAAAAAACACCACAATCCTCCCCAAAAGGAACCACCAGCAAAAAAAAAATCGTTTCCAAAAGTAAAAAAAAAATTCTTTTAATCGAAACTGAAAACTATCATCTAGAAAGCTTGGGATTTTTTTGAAAAAATTTGTTTTAGGAAAAGTGTTTAGAATAGAAAAAGGAGTATTTTTGAAATTTTTAAAATTTTTTTGGTTACTGGAAGCTAGAAAAGTTTGATTTTTTTGAAATCCTTTGAATTTTCCAACAATCGAAAATTGGGATAACGGTCGAAATTTGAAAATTTCTTTTGACACCATTGCTGATTACTGATTTCAACCATCATTGCACAGCGGTGATCGGCTAAAATTTGGGTTGCTACGACGTCTGAAGGTAGAGAGAGAAAGGAGAAAGGAAGATTAAAAAAAATCTAATTTTGGGCCTTTGATAGCTCTTGCAAAATGTTGCCACATTCGAATCTGCACTTGACTCGCGTCTTGACCTGTGCCTGACTTGACCTATTTGGTTAGATTTCTCTTTTTTTTTTTTAATTTTTTGTTTGTTTTATGATGATTTATTATTATTATTATTATTATTATTATTATTATTATTATTCTTTAAATAAAAGTAAAAATAAAAATAAAGTTAAAAAAAGTAAATTTGGTAAAATAAAAATAATATGCATAAATTTTAAAAATTAATAATAATAACTATTTAAAAAAATTTGTTGCAAGAAAAAATGTTATTTAAATTTCACCAAAGTGTTGGGATAATTTAAAAAATAATTTTTGCTAAAAAAATAATAAAATTTTAAAAAATATATAATAAGATAAATAAAATAAAAAGGAAATGATAAATTATTTAAATGAATCCTTTAAATGTAATTTTTAGAAAAAACTGAAAAAGTTTAGTTTTCCTTAATTATTACAGGTAAAAATAATTTTTCAAATTTCACCATAGAGTTGGAATAATCCAAAATTATTTTTACTAGAATAATTGTTTAATTAAAAAATATAAAAAAATAATACAAAATAAAACTAATATAATAATAATAATTGATATTTTGAATAAATTTTTTTGTAAAAAAATGTAATTTTTTTAAAGAAAATTGAAAGTGTTCATTTTTCTTTAATACAAGTAAATGATTAATATTTTTAGATTTTATCAGTGAGTCGGGATAATTTAAAATTTTTTTTAAAATAGTAAATAATAACAAAAGAATAATCACAATAAAAATTAATTAATTAGTTAAATCCCTTAATTATCATAAATAAAAAAATGATTTTATTTAGGTTTTTGTTAGAAAGTTGAGATGAACCTAAAACTTATTCAAAATTTTTAGGATTTTATCGAAGAGTCAAGAAAATCCTAAAATTTATTTAATAAATTTTGGGAAATCACTAAAGAGTTGGGATGTTCTTAAAATCATTTTATTAAATAAATAAAATATCTTATGACGAGATTTTGAGAATTTTGTGAATGATCAATTTTTTTGAAATATTTTTTAAATAAAATTTTTTTATAAATCCCGTCAAAGCATTGGAGAATTTATAGAATACGAAAATAATAATACTAACTTCACAACAAAAAAAAAATATTTTTCATAAATAAATTTTATAAAATTAAATTTAAATATAAAAAAGATCACATCATCAAGATTAAAAGCATTACACATGTTTAATTGATACAGTTTTTCGAATGGGTAATGTGAAGGTGCTAATACCTTCTTCACTTGTAACCATACTCCTAGACCCAATCCTGATTTTGCAGACCCAAACTTCTTTTAGTAAATCTTAATTAATTTTAAAATTTTTATTAAAAGATAATATTTTTGGGTGGCCAATCACACCTTGCAAAAAAGATTGGTGGCAACTCTGTAAATTTTTACCAAGACTAGCGATCGAGTCCTAGGTTGCGATCGAGTCCCCCTAAACGAAGAATAGTTATGATAGCTTAGCGACTCTACTGAGGATGACTAGAAAGTCAAGCTAAAAATCAAACATGTGTCATCTAGACTTTGATTTTATGGTTTTTTTATATTTAATTTTAATTTATTATTTCATCTTAGAATAAAAATAAGGAAAAAAAAAGGTAAAAATTTGATGGATTCATTTAGTTTTATTATGTCATTTTATTTGTCTTATTTAGTTTCTAATTATATTGTTGATTTTATTTTGATTAACAATTGTTACATTCCCTCATACACATACACATGTGCATCCATGTGCAAACTTTATACCCGAGCTCCCAAATTTATCCCTTTTTAAGAGGGAGTAGGGTACCTAGTCTTTTGTAAGGTTATAATGCCTCCGCTTGAGCTAGCGAAATACTTCCACTGAAGTTGAACCCTTTTCATCAGCAGCTCATTATAGGTGAAGATTGAGGGCCTTACTAGTCCAGAGTAGATGACAATGAAGAACAATTTAGGAACCTTTTTAGCCTATGTTAATTACCAAACCATGCATATAGTGAACCTTAAGAAACCAACCTTAAATAGAGCCATACCATTTTTGTAGATTATACCCTAAATTAGGACACATGAAGGAATATTTATTTTAATACGATTACTAACCCTATTTTGTTCTACTTTTCTTTTGTTTCATGATAATGCATCATCATAAACACTTGTATATGGGATGTGCTTGTCAATATGCCAATATTAGTTAGAAGATTTTTGGTCTTGCTACGAAATCACCATTATGATGTTCTTAGCTTCAAAGCCTACTGTGTGTAAAGAGATTAATGTGGTGAAAACTTTATTATTAAAAGCCCAAAGCAGAATGGGAAACTGTCTAAAAGAATCTAAATAAGAAATTTTGCTTGAAGAAATCAAACTACGACTTTAACAAAATGACATCTCAAAGTTGGTCGAAATCTGGCACCATGTAACAACTCCTAGGAAGATGGCTTATAAGGAAAAATATGGTCATATTACTTCATTCCTTGAGGTGTCTACGAAAAATCAGTTGATATCAACTCTAGTTCAGTTATGGGACCTGTTCTTAGATGTTTCATATTCAATGAGATAGATATAACCATGATGATGGAAGAGTATACTACATTGCTATGGTTGCATCCCTCAAATCTAGATAAAATCTATTGGTGAGGTCAAAAACTTGGATCTTGAAAGAAACTTGCCTATATGATTGAGGTCCCTACTCAAAATGTGAACTCACATATCCAAACAAAAGGCAAAAGTGATTGTATCCTATAAGAAGTATTGCATGATTACATCGTTAAACACTTAGAGGATGAATAAGGCATGAGAATGATAGCTTTGGCAAGTTATGGCTTGATCATTTTTTCAAAGGTCTTTAGGCACATTAAGTTATCGGTAATTGACTTTTTCAAGCAAGTGGATAACAAAATCAATCTTGCTCCTTTTATATTGGCAGAAATTTTTAGATCATTGAATCACTATAAAAAAAGAGGAAGATGTTTTA